TGACCTTCGTGAGTGATGTCAGTGCAGAGACTCCTACCATCAACTCAGTTCCGGTGGTAAGGGATTTTTCGGATGTGTTTCCTGTAGACCTGTGGGGCATGCCGCCAGACAAGGTTATTTATTTTGGTATTGATTTGATGTCGGGCACTCAGCCCATTTCTAATTCATCGTATTGTATGGCACCGGAAGAGTTAAAATTGTTGAAGGAGCAGCATCAGGAACTCCTTGATAAGGGGTTCATTGATAGGCCAATATGGACGTGTGTTCTACATCGAGTCGGCTTTGCTAATTCCGAATTGCTATTGTTGAGGGATATGTCCTTCGATTGTCGTTGAGCTTATTTGCGTTTGGGAGTGATCTATGAGTTACCTTTCCGTTTTGTGAGGAGTTATGATTCATTGATTTTATGCACAAGTGATAGGGTTCAATTTGGGGCTTTATAGAGGAATTTGAATGAGATGGGTATTTGGGTGTTGCATGATTGATTGCGCATTGGATATGTTCTTTTGGGTTGGTATGGAATTGTGTCATTTGTTTCGACGTGGTTATGGTGATTCACTTTTGGTATTAGGAATCAAATTGCGCGCGGTTGATGATTTTGAGCATGGTGACTTGGGGTGTCTCATGTGGACCAGTGTTTGGATAGGGTCGTGCATTGCAGCGAAGTTATGTTAAGATATGATCCTTCGGGTTAGATTCGTGTGTTGTGGTTCTACGATGTGTGATGGGTTCTCAGTATTGTGTTGTGGTGGTACTGGTGAGATTGCGGTACAGCTCTGTCATTTGAGCCATTTTTCCATGAATTGTGTACAGTTGGACTATTACTTACTGGTGCGCGGGTTGCACGGGTTGTGGCTTTAGATTGTTTCGATGTGCCATGTCACTAGAGTAGTCGTGCTGGGTGAGATGAGGTCATTAGGGTCTAGATTGAATACGATCGGATTCGATTTTAGCATGTTGGAAGGATAATATTGGAATTCGGCTTAGAAATTTACTACTGTCCTTGCAGAAGGATAAGGAACTCTATGACTGGTTGATATGAGGAATGGTTATGATTTCTGCGTGTTTTCTTTCATCATTGGAATTATATGAAAGTGTTGGAGTGAGGCTTTATTTGATAAGAGATTTATTACCGGTATTGGGTTGTTTGAGTAGCTGTTGTGAGTAGAAGTTATTAGGTGATTACATCTTGGGTTACAGATATAGTTTGATACAGCTTGTTTGGGCTTATACAGTGTATAGATGTGAGATTCTGATCTTGTAGACAATTTCGGAAGTGGAAATTTGGTTCTAAGGTTTATGGGCTAGGTTGGATTGCGAATTTTCAGTTATGTTGTGCTATTGAACCTATATGAGATAGGGTGACATGGGATCACCCCTAGGTATGTGTGTGGTAAGGGTACACAACGATTTGGTGGTTTTCGAAACAACTCTAGGCATGTTCGAGGACGAACGTATGTTTAAGTTGGGGAGGATGTAACGACCTGACCGGTCGTTTTGAGAATTTGCACTTTGCTCGCTAGTTATCGGTCATGACTAGCCCCGTATGATGTATTATGGCATTTGTAATCGTCGGTTTTGGGTTTCAGGTTAATCAGAACAGATATGGAAGAATGTTCCTTACCTTAAAGCTTTAAATTTGAAAGGTTTGACCAAGTTCTAACTTTTTAGTACACTGTATACGGCTAAAATCGGGAAGATCATTGTTACGGTAGATGAGGCATTACACAATCTCATCTCGAAGGGCCCAGAGAATAGCCCGGGGTTCGATGTCTTCAGGGATTCTTCATGCCCGGTGTCGGGACAGAACAAACCGATGCTTATGGCAAGTAAGCGGGAAGTTCCCTAGGAGTAGTATTTTATGACAATGCCTGCGCAAATAGTCACAGCCTGCACCAGGCTGATTGAGTGGTTGTATCGCTACTTTATGTAATAATTACACATGTGTCATATTGGATTTTTCCCTCATATATAAATGGGACCCTTGTCATTTTTGTAGGGGATCTGATACTCAATACTGAATATACAAGAACATTCTCTCAGCTCTCTAACTTGGACTCATAGTCTTGATACTTACATTTATTGCTTATATTCATTGTGTTCTATTTATTGTTCTTAGTTTTATTGCTCATTATTGGTCAAAAGAGATGCAATCAAATTTATCATAGCTGTTAATCCTCCACTGATTGCCCTTAGTCCGGCACCCGACTTGACCTCGAGGCCCCGCACGCGCAAGCTCGAGGCTCCGATTTCCAGCCATTTGGTTTGATTATTATACTATCTTCAAGCTATTGTCTTATTCTTTCTAATCTTTTACTTAGCATCTATTGCCTAACAACGAGCATAAAAATAGATCACATATTTTTAGAACCACAAAATAAAATCTAATTGTTATTACCATTTTCTAGGTAAACAGTTTGGCACCCACCATGGGGCTAAAAATAATACTGATTGTTTTCATGTTAGTTTAATACATAACACAAGTTATCTTTCACGTTTTTGCTCGTCCAACAATCATTGATTTCAGGTCAAAATATCTAGCTCGGTAAACGCACATGACAACAATGGCCTCGAAGACCATAAATAGTATGGTGCAGCTGTTCCAGGTAATGGTGTACCACCACAAAACTCTGAGGTCGCACCAGAACCGATTCCCATTGATATGGTCTCACATAACCCTCAACAAATTGGCGTAAGTTCCCACACCAACAGGAGTACATGCCGAGAAAATCAACTGGACACTCGAAAAACCCTCACCCGGGAAGAAAAATAAGCAAACAGGGGAAGCAAAGTGGGAAACTCTAAGCACATCGTTCATATGATTATCGGGGGAACCGACGTTCCCCAAGGGCCCGAGACTAAGCGGATAAAGGTTTATGTGGAAAAACAAGGGCAAACCCAGGGCCGAGCATATGAGTACATCCTCGCGTTCAGTGAAGAAGACTTTGAGACTTTGTCTCATCCATACAACGATGCACTGGTAATCTCGTTTCTCTTAAATAATATCCAAATTAAGCGTGTACTCGTTTCTCTTAACATAATTAGGTCGACGGAGGTAGAACAACTCGGATTACTTGATTAGGTCATACGTACCTCCTGAATCCTCAATGGCTTCATTATAGCCACCAAAACAACGAAAGGAGAGATCACCCTCCCAGTTAACATATCCGATGCAGTTCAAGATACCAGGTTCCATGTAATTAAAGGTGACACGAGGTACAATGCCTTGCTCGGTAGGCCATGGATACATAACATGAAGGTGGTAGCATCGACCCTGAATCAAATGATGAATTTTCCAACAATGGACGGTATAAAGATGGTGTATGGGGAGAAATATGCAACGAAGGAAATGTTCGCGGACCATGAAAAGGTATTGAATTCTGCACACTCCACCTCGGAAGAGTTGGAAAGCCAACAAACCCCCGAGGATGATGAAGGGGATTTCCTCACTCCCAGAACCTTCATTTCCCCCGAAGAATCAGATACAACAAAGTCGACCGTTGAAGAACTGGAGCAAGTCGTATTGATCGAGCATCTCCTAGATCGGAAGGTATACTTGGGGACGGGATTAACCCCCGAACTCAGGAAAAAGATCATTCAATTCCTTATTAACAATATTGATTGCTTTTCTTGGTCCCATTTAGACATGACAGGGATCCCACCAGAGATAACTACCCATCGACTAAGTGTCGACCCCAGGTACAAATCGGTGAAGCAAAAAAGGAGACCCCAGTCTGAGATAAAGCATGCATTCATTAAGGACGAGGTAACAAAGCTCCTCAAAATAGGGTCTATTAGGGAAGTAAAATATCGCGAATGGCTGGACAATGTGGTGGTAGTTCCCAAAAGGGGAATAAAATAAGAATATGCATAGATTATAAAGATCTAAATAGGGCGTGCCCAAAGGACTCGTTCCCACTGCCCAACATCGACAGTTTGATTGACGCCACGGCTGGACATGAAATCCTCACTTTTCTCGATGCCTATTCGGGGTATAATAAAATTCAGATGAACCCCAAGGATAGAGAAAAGACTTCGTTCGTCACAAAGTATGGTACGTACTATTACAATGTAATGCCGTTTGGGCTAAAAACACATGGGCCACATATCAACGCCTAGTTAATAAGATGTTCGAACATCAAATAGGCAAGTCCATGGAAGTTTATATTGATGATATGCTAGTAAATCCCTGTGTGCAGAGGACCATTTGACTCATTTACAGAAAATATTCGACATCCTCAGAAGTTACAACATGAAACTCAATCCCAAGAAGTGCGCCTTCAGGGTAGGATCGGGCAAATTCTTAGGTTTCATGGTATTGAATAGAGCAATTGAGATCAACCCCGATAAAATCAAAGCCATCGAAGAAATTATGGTGGTAAATAACGTAAAGGCCGTACATCGGCTGACCGGGCAGATAGCAGCCTTGGGCCAGTTTATATCAAGGTCATCAGACAATAGTCACCATTTCTTCTCCTTGCTCAAAAAATAAAAAAAAATTCGAGTGGACTCCAGAATGCCAACGTGCCTTGGAGGATTCAAGCGATACCTGACAAGCCCTCCTTTGCTCCATGCCCTAAAAGAGGATGAGAAATTATATTTATACTTGGCCGTATCAGAGATAACGGTAAGTGGTGTGTTGGTTTCAGAAGAACAAGGCACGCAATTCCCTGTTTATTATGTAAGTCGAACACTGGGTGATGCTGAAACCAAGTATCCGCACCTGGAAAAACTAGATCTTGCATTAATAAGTGCGTCTTGAAAATTGAAACCTTACTTCCAATGCCATCATATTTGGATTTTAACAACGTATCCCCTTCGAAGTATATTGCATAAACCCGAATTATCCAACCAACTGGCCAAATGGGCCATCAAACTCTGGGGATATGATATCGAGTATCAGCCCCGGACGGCTATAAAGTCTCAAATTTTGGCAGACTTCGTAGCCGACTTCACTCCTTCTCTCGTACCCGAGGTCGAGAAAGAACTTTTTGCTAAAAATGGGCACATCTTTTGGGATATGGACCCTATTCACCGACGGCGCCTCGAACGTAAGAAGGTCTGGGCTCGGCATAGTCCTAAAGCCACCTACAGGCGGCGTGATTAGACAATCTATAAAAACAACAAGGTTAACTAACAGTGAAGCCGAGTATGAGGCTGTGATTGTAGGTCTGGAATTGGCCAAAGGCCTAGGAGCTGAAGTCATTGAAGCAAAATGTGATTCCCTCGTGGTGGTAAATAAGGTAAATGAGAGCTTCGAGCTTCGGGAAGACAGGATGCAAAGATACTTAGACAAAATTCAAATCACATTTCACCGCTTCAAAGAATGGACCCTAGTCCACATATCCCGAGAGGAGAATAGCGAAGCCGATGCACTCGCAAACCTGGGATCATCTGTCGAGGAAGATGACATACTCCCCATATCTGTTGTTCAACTGTCATAGTTAGTGATCGAGGAAGACCACGCCGAGATCAACTCCACTATCCTAACATGGGATTGGAGAAATAAATATATCGATTATTTGGAGAGCGGGAAGCTACCCACAGACCCAAAAGAGTCGAGGGCCCTGCGGACCAAAGCAGCTCGATTCTTGCTCGACGAAAGTAGAGCTTTTTACAGAAGAACTTTTCATGGCCCTCTAGCAGTATGTCAAGGGACGGGTGATACAGACTATGTGCTCCAAGAGATTCGCGAGGGCACCTGCGGAAATCATTTTAGTGCCGATTCGTTAATTCGAAAAATAATCAGGGCAGGCTACTATTGGGACAACATGGAGAAGGAAATCAAAGTGTTCGTCCGCAAATGCGACAAATGCCAAAGATTCGCCCCAGTGATTCACCAACTTGGTGAACAACTACATTCAATTTTGTCACCATGGTCGTTCATGAAATGGGGTATGGACATCGTTGGACTTCTACCAACGGATCCAGGTAAAGCTAGATTTATTTTATTTATGACTAACTACTTCTCAAAATGGCTTGAAGCACAAACCTTCAAAAAAATATGGGAAAAATAAGTCATTAATTTCATCTGGGACCATATCATATGCCAATTCAGAATTCCTTCTAAGATAACGTGTGATAACGGGAAGCAATTCATCGGAAGCAAAGTGACTCAGTTCCTCGAGGATCACAAGATCAAAAGGATCCTGTCAATGCCCTACCACCTGTGTGCAAACGGTCAAACCGAGTCCACAAACAAAACCATCATTCAAAACTTAAAGAAGAAACTAGAAAGAACAAAGGGAAGATGGAGAGAAATATTACCCAAAGTACTCTGGGCATATCAAACAACTCCAAAATCAAGCACGAGGGAAATGCTTCTCTCCCTAGTGTATGGCGCCGAGGCATTGATACCAGACGAGGTCGGAGAACCCACCGCTAGATTCCGACACACCACCGAGAGCTCGAACAATGAGGACATGACTATTGTTCTCGAACTATTAGATGAAAACCAAGAAACCTCACTTGTCCGAATAGCCACACAAAAACAACGGGTTAAAAGATACTACAACAGGAGAACAAATCTCTGGCATTTTGGAATCAGGGACTTAGTCCTAAGGAAATTTACCTTGAATACTCGAAATCCTAATGAAGGAAATCTAGGTCAGAACTAGAAGGACCGTACCGCATCCTCGGGGTAGTTGGCAAAGGGTCCTACAAACTTGGCACCATAGAAGGCGAACAACTTCCAAGAAAATGGAATTTATCAATGCTCAAACACTATTACTGCTAGAAGATCGAAGGCCCTAGGTTTCGAAAGCATACACTGCACTATTTTCCTTCGACAAGGTTTTTATCCCAAGAAGGGTTTTACCGGCAAGGTTTTTAATGAGGCAGCATCCATATGCTACCTAAGGAAGACTCAAAAAGTATTCAAGGCTTCTCTTCAATCAACCTTGAATACTAGGGGGCATCCCCCCGGAAGGTCACTTCTTCGGAGAAGCCAAGACGTCCTAAATGGTGTCTCGATAGGAAAATGACGTACCGGTCGAAACGATCGAACGAACTGTGTCCGTATAGAATAACCGAGCCCTTGACATTAAAAACGTGTATACTTGTACCAAGTAATCAAAGAATATTTTCCCCTCCATCAAAACATTTCGCTTTTGAGAGGAGTTCAGTATTTTTTATAAAAACATCTCCAGAAGCCAAGAACGCCCCAAACACTCGGGGACTGGCGTCAAACAATCGAAGTCGTATGACCTTCGGGTCGAAAGCTTAGAACTTGTAAGCCCTCAACGAGGTAATATCAAGTTTACAAAAACGGCTCCAAAGCTAAAAAAATGTACCCAACACTCGGGGACTGGCATTAAAAATTCAAAGCCATATGACCTCCGGGTCGGAAGCTCAGAACTTGCAAGCCCTCAATGAGGCTATATCAACTTTACAAAAATGGAATCAGAGCTAGAGATCAACTCTAAACTATTGATAAACGCTCGACGGTAGCAGGAACCTAAAGGTCTAAAATTGAGACCCACAACTTCAGATCAATTGCTAGACAAATGCCACAAGTCGTTCAAAGGGAAAACAAAAAAGGTATAAAATTGACACACATATAAAAAGATTCATAAACGTACAATTACAAAACCTACATCTGGAAGCCCTTCTGAAGGAACTAAACAAATAAAAACCTTAATCTATCACCGGAGATACGCCTTCGACGACCTCCATAGAAATACGCTTCCAACAGCTTCGTCCATAACCTCCGAATTTCCAACGACCACCTCCCCTTCAGGGACCTTGCCTCCATCTTCATCACCTCCCGAGTCGCTGCTCGACTTGCTTTCAGAATGAAGTAGGTCCGCAACTTCCTCTTCTGGGGTCTTCACCCTCTTAATCTCGGCTATTAATTTAACGCCCCCTGTGTATATATCCATGAGCGTCTGTCTCCGAGATTCTAACCGGGCATGCTCCACTGCTCGGGTCAAGCGCAGCTCAGCCTCTTCGGACACCATCCAAGCTTGAGCATTTATAGTAGCGGCATCCTCCTTATGCGAGGTCACGAGCACCTCAGTCTCAGCCCTGACCTCGGATAGCATAGTAACCAACTCAATATGGAGATCCTTATGCTTACTACTCTTAGCCCTCGCATCTTCGAGGCAACGCCTGATCTAAACCACCTCTCCTCGGAGGGCATCTCTCTTAGAGATTACCTCACTCAAATACCGCTTAAGCTTGAGAATTTCAAAGTCCCTAGCTTGGAGCTCCTTCCCCATTAGGACATCCTTCTCCTTAAACTGCAAAATAGACCCAAAGATATTAAAATACGGAAGTTAGTTAGACATACAGACAAAAAACAAACTGGAGCTATGCAGCCTGTTTAGTAAGACGAGCCTTTTCCCAGGACGCCACCTCCAAGCAATTTTGAAGGCCATGGAGTTCTTCCTCCCTCTTGGTAGAAAGGGCCCTGAGCTCGTCGGCTTCCAAAGTAAGTTTCTTATGTACGCCCTCATGACGAGTCAGCTCAGTTTCAAAATTGGCGATTGTTTGATTATAAAGCACCTTGGCCTGGAACCATGAAAGAAATAAGGTTAGGAGGGCAAAGGTCGGGGCGCCAAGCGGAATTTATGAATAGATTACCTGCTCGCATAGCCTGTCGATCTTATTAAAAATAAGCAAAATGTCAGGCTCAGACTTTCCCTCAGGCACAACAGAAGTCTTTTCAAATGTATTTTTATCACCAACGGTCGTCCCTACGCCAAGAGACTCTCTATTAGGGGTATCTTTCATCTCCCTCGGAGGAAAAACCAATTTTGAAGGGAAATTGCTCACTTTCACAACCTCGGCTGGGTCAATCGGGGTTGTCCTTTGCTTCTAAAGAGCTTCGAAATTGGGATCCTCTGAATTGCATTCCGAGCGTACCTCGACTCGAGAAAATTTTTGGCCATCAGTCGGCTCGGTGATAGCGCCGGATACACCCTTGTAGGCCTATTCAGCCCAAGGCGAGGCGACAACAGAATTGAGCCATGATTCGGAAGCCACCAACTCAACAGTATGTGAAACAATCAAATCCTCTTCCCCTTCGGGTGCTGTCAAAGAATCATCTTTCTTTTCACCTCCAGCTCGGGAACTCCCCGATGCCTTTGGATTTAATATTGTTGAATCATCCTTAGTATCTTCCACTCTGGTTTTCTTGGATTTCGGAGGATAAGTCGATGATCCCTCTCATTTTTCCCTCTCTTCATCGATTATTTGAGCACCTGCTTCACTAGGAAGAGTTTCTCTCATCAAGAAGGCCTCCCCAGACCTGCCCAAATACAAAAACAATCACAGGGAATGAGAGCACAATTAGCAACAACTTTTGTAAAACTGAAACTATAGCAGAGAATAAGGTCCCACCATGATCCTTGGCTTCCCATCGATCCTTGGATAAATCGCACCACACTCGCTCGACATATGGGCAAATCGAGTCCATTTTAGCAACCCAACTTGAAATACTCCTTACCGCATCCGGGTACGCCGCAGTAGCTATATCAGTGGAGGAAGACAGTTCATAAGGAAATGTATCTGAAAGAAAGAAATGGGCAGTTAATTAAGTATGTCTACTTACGCTTCATGTTCCATTTTTTGGGGAACGACATCCTCTATGCGGGGATCAAGTCCGAAGTCTTAACTCCGACGAAACGGCTCATCCACCCCCCATTCCTACCCTCGTCGGTGCAAGCAAAGAGGGCTCTCGAGGCTCAGCAATGGAGCTTAATCAGGCCCCCGCTAAAGAGTCGGGGACTGTACATTCTGATCAAATGGTCAAGGGCGAAGGGCATCCCCTCAATCATATTTGTGTAATACCTGGTCATCTTAACGATACGCTGAAATAACGATGAATTTGGCCGAGAGTGACTTGATATCTTTCGTAGAAGTCAAGGATCACAGGGTCTATTGAAGGTATGGATGGCACCGTTGGGCCGAGGGTAAATGGATAAGTATACATACTGAGAAAGTCGGCCTTATATGCCGTTACATCCTCCCCCAAGAAGGAACCTCCACTAACACCGCATCTCCCCAGTGACAGTCGGTTTTCACTCTTTCGGTGTCTGTTATTAAACAGACGTATCGAGACAGGGGCTCGTATCGCCCCAGCTTCAAGGAAGGTCTCTCGACCTTAAAATCAGAGGTCGTCTCAAAGGCCTCTGGAACGCATTCTCAAGTGCTAGGAGACATTGTTTCTTTACCCTCAGAGGAGAGTGTGGAAGAGGAAGGCACACCTTCTTGAGGGATAGAGGTGGAAGTGTTTTCGCTATTTTTCACCAGAGGATTAAGAAGAAACAAAAAATCACATTTCAGGAAAGGACACGGGAGAGAGGTAAGAGGAAAGAAAAGCTCTTTTGGGAGCTTGATGATACAGTAGAGAGGAAGGGGCGAATAAATGAGTATTTATAGAAGCCTAACATGTGCGATTGGATCAGACCAAAGGACCGCCAACCGCTACAATTAATTAGAA